CACAGCAGGTTAGTACCAAAATGAGGAGCAGAATTCAGATTCCTCCTCCCAGCTCCAGTGCCCAGTTCCCCAGACCCTGCTGACTTCTTCCATTTCCATGCAGCATACAAAACAGACCAACTAACAAGACAGACACCACTGCAGGAAAACACAGACCCATAGAATCATAGAATAGTTAGGGTTGGAAAGGACCTTAAGATCATCTAGTTCCAACCCCCCTGCCATGAGCAGGGACACCACACACTAAACTATGTCGCCCAAGGCTCTGTCCAGCCTGGCCTTGAACACCTCCAGGGTTGGAGCATTCACAACTTCCTTGGGCAACCTATTCCAGTGCCTCACCACCCTCACTGTGAAGAACTTCTTCCTTATATCTAACCTAAACCTCCCCTGTTTAAGTTGGAACCCATTCCCCCTTGTCCTACCACTACAGTCCCTAATGAAGAGTCCCTCCCCAGCATCCTTGTAGGCCCCCTTCAGGTACTGGAAGGCTGCTATGAGGTCTCCACGCAGCCTTCTCTTCTCCAGGCTGAACAGCCCCAACTTTCTCAGCCTATGTTCATACGGGAGGGGCTCCAGTCCTCTTATCATCCTCGTGGCCCTCCTCTGGACTTGCTCCAACAGTTCATGTCCTTTTTATGTTGAGGACACCAGAACTGTACATACTACTTCAAGTGAGGCCTCATGAGAGCAGAGTAGAGGGGCAGGATCACCTCCTTTGACCTGCTTGTCATGCCTCTTTTGATGCAGCCCAGGATACGGTTGGCCTTCTGGGCTGTGAGCGCACACTGAAGCTGGCTCATGTTGAGCTTCTCATCAACCACCACCCCCAAGTCCTTCTCCGCCCAACCTGTAGCTGTGCCTGGGGTTGTGCTGACCCAGGTGTAGGACCTTGCACTTGGCTTGGTTAAACTTCATGAGGTTGGCATCAGCCCACCTCAGAAGCGTGTCCAGGTCCCTCTGGATGGCATCCCTTCCCTCCAGCGTATCAACGGAGCCACACAGCTTGGTGTCATCAGCAAACTTGCTGAGGGCACACTCAATTCCATAACCCATAACCCATGTAGAGAGGCATAACCCATTCCATAACCCATGTAGAGAGGCATAAATTCCTCTGCCCACACTGTGAACTGAAGGGACAAAACACATCTCTGGTTCATGTTCCATGTAGCCACAGTTGTCACAAGCTCTGTGTCTGAGCTAATAACTTAGGCTTAGAAGAAGAAAATGGTAGATTGACAATATCACCCTAATGTGGCTGTAAGAACTCAGCTGTCTTACATGCACCCAGGTTACAGCACTAACAGAGCAATCTATTTCTATCCAGAAAAGCACGGTGCCTCTTGCAGTTACATATCCACATTGCAATGAGGATTTGTAAAGCCCAAGGTCCAGTACATCTGTCGTATTTTCCCCCTACTTCATTTGTCCCACAACCAACCATCTAAAGCATGGCAGACTGGTCATTTCCTACGTAGTTAGAGCAAATGAATGAACTCTTAGTTCATACTGTGATCACGAAAAGCTCTACAAGAGAGTTAGCTAGGCTTTAGCAAGCGGTTACCAATGAAGTCATGAACTTTAATTAATTAATATTAATTAATTAATTTACAACCCATTAATTTTTTTTTTTATACCTGAAAAAAATTACATCTAGCTTCTCTTTCTTCTAGGAAACATTTCATAGAACCACAGAATCATTAGGGTTGGAAGGGACCTCTCGAGATCACCTAGTCCAACTCCTCTGCCAAGGCAGGGCCACCTAGAGCAGGTCACACAAGAACGCACCCAGGTGGGTTTCTCTACTTCATTTTCAGCTTCACAAAAAGCACTCCAATTAATAATAACAAATAATAAACAGGAAATCAACAGCAGTTGCTACAAATGAATTCTGAGAACTGGTAATGCAGATTAAAAACTTGTGTTTCTTTGTGGACGTATGCAGGAATAACACTAACTGAAATAGTTCAGGTTGGGGGACTGAAAAGTAACTTATAGAAATGCATGCTTTGCTGGAACACCTTCCAAATCCTGGATGCTTGCAAGCTTCTGCTGCCATCCACAACTTCTAGTTGTCATGGAATATATCATAAATATTTGTTCCAAAAGCTCCAAACCAAGAAAGCAAACATCAACTGTATCTCTATTAATGGACAAATACAGTCACAAGTCTATATTCACTCAAATGTTCACTGGAGAACTCTAGATTTTTCTCTACACAAACACATCTGCTAACATTTATCTTTTATACAAGTTTCCAGTCAAGTCTACCATGTTTTTTGAAACAACAAAGAATCTACATCAGAGAACTTTGGCTATGTTTCTGCTCTAGAGACTGCCTAAAAAAAATTATGCTTCTGCCTCCAACATTTTCTACTAAGTCTTTTAACCGTTCTCTGCTATCCCACACTGTTCATTGTAAATGGAGATCAAATTTCCCATGGCAGATATACATAAGCATGTTCTAAGAAGAACTGCATAGTTTTTCTTTTAGCAATACATTTGGTGACATAAAAATACAGAAATCAGTCATTATATACTCTGAGCACTGTTATGCTGTAAAACAAAAATATTTCATTGTCTTTGGAGAGTAACTCTCTCATTAATTCTAAGCTCAATAAAGTGAAGATCACAATCCAGACTAAAGGTCTTGACTCTGTATTTTTACTTGTGCTGGGTATAGAACTTCCTTAAGCAGGAAGTTCCATTGGTTATAATGGCTGTTCTGAAATTAGAAATGGTTGTAAACCCATGAAACTAGAAGAAATAACTCACAAGCAAGCAGAAAATCAACATTATGACTATCTGAAAATTATATTTAAGATTCACTAACCCTTCAGTTGTCAGAGAAGAAGAAAAGATATTTGTCACAGAAAAATTCTAATGCACTTCAGATTGCTTTGGGTTGGTTTTATTGGGTTATTTATTCACAGATTCTAAATTTCAAACCTGTAAGAATTAGTATTCTTCACCAGCATTCTTCCATTAGTCCCCCAAGTCACAGCATGCTTGCAAAATGCATAATAATTTGGCTTCACTTCAAACTTGTGTTTTTCTGACTTGCACCTCCTCAACCATCCCCCAGCTTCCCCCATGCTGTGCTGAAAGTCCTAGCCTGAAAAGCAGCTTTCTACTAGAAGGAAAACAGCAGCCTGTTTGGAACACATAAATGCAAACTCCTGCCTAGTTATGATAACGTATGTAATGACTGGGCATGGCACTTCTCCTCTGCAGTTCAGTATAATCATGTATTTCTGACTCTTTGTCCACTCCACCTCTACTCTGATGTAAAGTCTTACTGCATTTTTCCATTCTAGCTCAGTGCCCCTATTCTATGCCAGTAGTAATTGCCTATCTGTTTCAGCTTCATGAAATCGTGTAGAAGAGCCCCAGGCTTAAACATGACACTCTCTTCTGGAGTCTCCAGTATCCTTCCATTGATACCAACAGCAAAAACAGAAAGGGGCAGCCACCTAAGCCAAAGAAAGAAATGGAAAGCAGTATGAAAGCAACAGAACCATAGCTGAGCATAGTGGGCCAGAGGGAAGAATCAGGATAAGGAGAAAGAGACTGCTGATGACACAAGTCTATTTGCTGGGTTAATTTCCTGTAGGTACACAGCACCCAAAGAACACAAGCTATTAAATTGCCACTATACCTTATTGTAATCTGAAGATGCATAAGAAGAAGCAAGGCAAAAGAAGCTTACAATGGTACAAACTATCAGAGGGCAGGAAGAAAGAATCCAGAAATGGGAATCTACAAAAAGGTAGAGTCTGAATGGACTAGAATAATGAAAAATTTGGAGTAAAGCCAAGCTTAACAACAAATTGTAAGGATAATTACAGAAAGATCATGCTCTCATAAAGAAGATAGTCCTGGAAACTGAATTGCACTTGATGGCAGAAACCAGAACGAAAATAGAAGAAAGTCTCAGGCAGAGGAAGCTGAATAAGGCTCAGATTTCATGCCCTTTTCAAATCGGTAATTATCTGAAAAAGCAGTAGAAGGTGAAACAAAAATACCTGTTTATCCTCTACTAACATGTTTCAAATTCAGTTCCTGTACAGAAAACATGTGAATATTCTTAATAGTACATCACTTAAAGTAAGCACTTGCAGTTCCTAAAAACTCTGTAAGTTATCATACAACTGAAAAATTCCTGCCTTAACAACCAAAACATCTCTTCTGCTTCATACAAGATCAAAGTAGACATTGGCATTCCTAGTAGGAAATATTACTAAAAGTGAAAATCAGTGGCATTCATTGAATTTTAAACAGTGAACTGGAGAGCTGTTTCTAAAATTTGTTCCGAGAAGTCACTCTTATTCAACAGTTTCTTTTTATTGTGTGCTTTTTATCTCTGTTGACCAGGCTATTACTGCTGCAATACAATTTTCTGCTTATTTAATGGCACAGGATCTTGCATCTATATAATGGCAAATGGAGTAATTTTTAAGATTAATTAGATATAATGTAAAAATATGCTTAGATTAAAAGGCCAGGTAGAGTCTTTCACTTTACAACACTCTAAAACACATGACTGAGTAAGATGAGGAGGTGGCTGAATCCCCAGTCTCATTGTGCCTGCTAGTCCCTAACAGTAGTTAGCAAGGGAAAAACACTTCGTAAAAACGTGTGGGGAACGTCATCTTCAAAGTTAGGTGCCTCTGACTCCCTTCAGCACTCTTCCTGCATGTATCTTAACATAAGTACACTGTCTCACTGTCTCTGACCACTGTTACCATCAGTTCCACATTCCCCTCCTTGTATAAGAAAAATAAAGCCACAGTTTCATTTCATTTTTCATAGGAAACACCAAATATTATAGTTTGTTCTCAGCTTCCCAATCACCAAGCTGCACTTCAGCACTCTATGACTTTCAACTTTTGGCTGCCATATTTTGTGACTCCAAAACAAGTTATATGAAGAAAAACAGTTCAGCAATATGAATTTGAGAAACACAAATACTTTGCGTAGAAGTAAATAGCAACACTAACCTCTCTCATTTTTTCCAGTTCATTCTGTAGTGCTTGTTTGGCAATTTCAACTTCTATAAGCTGCTGTCTTAACTTTTCATTTTCATCTTCTGTTACAGTACGTTTTTCTTCCACATTTTCTAACTCATGATGAAGTCTCACCGAAACATCCTTTGCAACCTAAATTGTTATATCAAAAGAAAGATTTAAAAAATTACTACTGCAGTGCAACTATTTAGAAGTTAATTCTAGATGTTTTGATGGAAGCAGTATGTAAGGAAACATGTAGACAAGGACATCCACAGAAAGAATTCTAAATGGTTCCAAATTCAAACCAATTGCTTCAAAAAAAATGGTACATTATTCCTGAGGACTTCACTGTAAACCATATTAGACATTAAACCTCAACTCCCTTTAAGGTTCCGTTATGCCAATGGTGAAACAGGACCTTCATTATCCCTGGAGACACTGCAGCATCTACTTTCTCTCAACCACTCCTAGCTTATGTTTTGCAATGCGTTAAGGTATATGCTCTTTAAATAGTTGACATGCAGAAGCACCTAAAAGCAGGGCCCACCTTCTCCAAGCCTTTCCTACCTGTGCCTTGCACACAATAAACAGACACATCTTGATTTTGACCCTGTTAGTTTCTCTCTTCTTCATGGGCAGTTAATCTAAATATCTGGCATTAACTGCTATTGGTTCATTTAAAGATCAAAATATGCACAAACAACATCTTTACTGACCTTGTGTTCATCCAAATGATGCCAAATATTTTAAATGGAAACTAATGTTTTTTGTTGTTTGGTTTGGGGGTTTTTTTTAACACATTTCCCAGGAATTGAGTTAAAAGGCACATTACCATGATCTAATTCCTCTTCTTCATATAAAGTAATGAGAATTTTGCCATTCAGGCCACTTGTGTTGTATTTTGTGAAACCAACAGAAACTATAATCATGCAACAAAAATATTTAAATATATACTAATCACTGTTATGATGGTGATTTAGACACATACTTGAAAAGCCTAATTTCCTGCTTTTTTTAGAACATTGGAAAGTATAATTAATCCTTCTTAGCATTAGCTAGGGGAGCTCAGAGAGCTATCCTTTATGGCTTTCACTAGAATGATCTTTATGTTTGTGTGTCAAAGAATTCTCTTGGACATACTAAACCTCTAAAGAAAATCATAATTGTAAGCAAGCAGTCTAGAAGAATCCAATCTATCAGAAAACAGCAGCAGCTAGTGACTCAGCCTCCCCTGACAAAAAACCCAGTGTGTGCGAATTACAGATACAACACTGCAGTGTAGCACAAGATCATTCAACAATCTCATCCACTGTACATGCAGTCAAGACCCATAATGCCTAACAGAAAGAGTGGAGGGGAATTTCAGTTAAAACCATGGTCCAAAGAGACTGCAGGATGATCTGAGAATCACACCACAGGCCTATAGCTTGATGTTTTTTCCTACGCTCAGTATTAAACTGCTCACCTGGTTGCCCAATCAAAGTAAATGGAAAATCATGGGTGACATTTTTAACAGCATCCTGTCAGAATCTATCTTCAGTCCATAGATACAGGCTGGATCAGTAAATACAACCAAATAACAAAGTAGTGATTTTTTGACACAAAATTTGGTGGTGTAGCAGTTAATGCAGGGAAATCCCACAGGGCATTCTAGATGAAATGGAACTCACTTGAAAGATGCATTTTAATACAGCTATGTACAAGACTGTACCTATGAAGGATTAGGTCCCCTAGTATATTACCTGTGCAAAACTAACAGCATTATTTTGGATAGAAATTCTTCAGAAGAGGGCTCGGGACCATTACAGAAAACTGCACGAGTTACAATAATGGTTAGCCAACACCCAAATTCAACTAGACATTCATCCCTGCTCCAAAGCAGAACACATTCATGATCTCTGGGAACACTTTGCAAAAACACTATTCCTTTCCAAAGAGTCAGTTATATGGTTATCGTGAAAGACATGGGAGAATCCCTAATTTAAGTGAGGCCTTTGACCAGCTCAACCTAAGGCCTCAGCTGTCACCTCCTACATTGAGGGCTAGCACTTAACCAGAAGTGCTCTCACCATTTCCCCTCCCAGTCCCTGCACATGTATGAATTGCTGATACAAAGTAACACCGAGCCAATAAAGAATTCAGCTGTGTAAGATAGAATCACAATATTCACTTGGGTCGCAAAGGTTCACATTCAAATTCTGCCTACAAGGTGCGTGTCTCCATTACTCAGTTAAGCATCATTCTGAATGTGCAAAACATCTCGTTCTCCTCCTGGCTTCTCCATGCGAAGTGGCAGGAGACCAGTCAACTGAAAAAAGTTGGAGGTCTGATTCAGCAGAAGCCTTTAACAAAGTCTAGTGGATGGAAGCAGAAATTAGACAACTTCCAACTAGCACAAGAAAGGCTGTATATTGTCTGTATTTGGACCATCTAGCTGTAGAATGGAGATGATGGGAACTTTACCAACAGCATTCTTTAAACAAGGACTGAAACTTTTCCTCAACAATGGGCTGTGGTTCATTCAGATGTTATGGATGAAATGCAGTTGATTACACATTGAAATGTGATGGGTTGTGTCTATGCTTTCAGGTGGATGTGGAAAATCCTGGCTTCACTGAAGGTATCAGCAGTCTTTCCACTGACACCAGTGATGCCAGGATTTCGTGTGTTGACTTTGCAAGTATTCGATCTGCTGGTCCTACGAAATCTTTACTACATAGTACCGTAATGCCCTCAGAGGCAGTGGGACTATTTGGTAAGGTTGGTTTAATTTTGCAGTCACAGGGTATGTTTTGCATACATCCTAAAAGATCCCAAACCTCTAGATCCTAATTTGTATTTGAATCATTTCTTGCACCTTAACTTTACAACAAATGATTGGACTGAAGCTCAGGAGAGACTATCTATTTACTGATGGGTGTCTAATACGAAGGTACACTTGGCCATTACTATCCTGTAAGCTGCTTTGGGTACACACTGTACAATAGAACAGATGGAAATGCCTGAGTCATGAGGACCACGAGCATGGTCATGTTTCCTTCTGAGGTGCTCCCTTCCCTCGACACCTGCTCATGTCTGTACCTTGAGGTCCTGCTCCATGCTGCGCAGGAGCTCACCATCGATCTCGCCAGTCTGGGCGTAGCGGAGCCTCTTGCGCTCAGCCTTGCGCAGCCGGTACTGAAGGATCCGGCAGTTCTTGTTGGCTCGCTCCAGTTCGTGGCGCATTTCCTGAAGCTGGCAGGCATCCTCCTCGAAGAAACTGTCCCTCATCTCGTCCATCTCTGTCCTCAGCTCATCTATCTCGTTCTGGCACCGGGGCGAGAAGGGGACAGGGATGCAACAGGTGGGTCATAAGCACGAATGTTAGCACGTATAGGGGAAGGCGGCCAAAATGGAGCTCCTCCCCGGAGGGACGCCAGCTAAATACAACCCGGCTCATTAAAAGCACCGCAGCGAAGCAGGGTAGCACCACTGCCCGCGACAAGGCCATCTTAACCCTGCCTCCAGCGCTAGTGCCGGGGGAGAGGGCGGCCGGGAAACCCCTCCCGGGC